ACCCCACCCCTTGTCTTCGTTTTTTCAGACCCACGACCCTACTGATTGTAGTGTATGAAAACATCTGTGGCAACTTTTTATTTTCTTTGCCGTCCTTTCTACCTCCCTTATTCCCCACCCCTTCTCTGTGTCTTTCTCCTCAGGAAGAAAACTTGGGGAAATCGTGACTGTCCAAAATCATCTGCATTGGGAAGAGGTGGGGAGGAGGGAGTACTGGGGAGGCTGGAAAAAAAACACACACACTTAAAACTCACAAAACCTGGCAGTCAAACCAGCATAGTGTTGAATTGTTTCTTTTCTTCCCTTTTAATTTTATAGTAGGTTTCCTGCTATTCTTTTGCTGATTTATTCTCTGGTGCCTTTCTATTTTTGTTTCTCTCCACAATCTAACTACTTTTTATTTCTTCTGTTCATTTGTTTGAAGCTCTCTGATTAGCTGCCTTCACCTCTATAGTTTTAAGTTTGTGTCTGCCCAGCCTTTTCCCTCACTGTGACTTGGTGTCATTCTGTTCTGTGATGGGAATGTCGCCATGGGTGCGGTGTGGTGGTATGTTTTGGTTGTTGGATGGCATGTAAGCTTGGATATTTCTATGCTTTTTTTTTTTTCTAAAACAGTGGCATGTACTTATCTGATAACAGCCTTCCCCTGCAGTAGTATACTCCTCACTGGTCTTGTCCATTCAGTCTCCCATTCTCTTAAAAGCAGCACCCTGAGAGTTCCCCCATATGTCTTGCCATGGAGTCAGGTGACTGAGCTGCAAGGTATTTATTTAAAACCCCATCATGCTGTTTCAAAGTCATAGATGCATCTGATCTCTATTTACAACCATGTTGATTCTGATGACAGATTGATGGCATCGTGCTCCTCATCCCAGAGGCTGGCTACCCAGAAATAGTTTGGAAGCCATTCACACTAGCCTTTAATTGTGTCTTGAAAAAGAAGGAAATGAAAATCCAACCCTGTTCCTCTGAGTGATGAGTGTGAGCTGAACTGCTGCCTTGGAATCATCCCCCTGCACCTATTGTAGGAGGTACAAGTAAGACATCAGACACGGGAGCTTTTGTGGCTATTTCTGTTTTTGAAAAGTGTCTTGCTACTTGTATGGTGGGAAGGAGAGGGAGGGAGAAGCCACCCAGCACAGAGCCAGTGCTCCTAGCCAGGAAGACTTCTAGCTCCACATCTGAGCTGATTATAATTGAGAGCATTCTCTATTTAATGGAAAGATCCTCTGTGTTTTTCACCTTCTCTTCAAGGACTCGCTCAGTAAGAGACCTATAGCCAGTTCTGGCTTAAAGAACATTGATTTAGAGAGAGTAAAAATAGCAAATTAGTCATCCTTTATAGTAACTCAGAATTTGCCTATGAAGAAAAGAGGCCATGAGGAGAGATAGGGGAGGCTACTGCAGTTGGCACTGATGAATCAGAGAACCTGCTTCTGGAAAGGGAAAAAGAAAACCTTTGCTATGTGAAAGTAGGGAACATTAACCCAGTAATCTTTCTTTTATTTAACAATTTTTTTTCCCTTGCACACCTCCTTCTCTTCCCCCATGCTCCTTTCCGTAAAAAAGCAGAATTACCCAAATGGCCAGAAAGATCTGAAGTTTGTAGGCATGGACTGGGTCAGGCACTTGGTATTTGTACTTGCAGGAGCCTGACTCTAGGAGACTCACAATTAAAAAGGTCATGCCTTGGAGATAGAAAAAGATGAGACTTTGGAGTTCCAGTCTCAGGAGTACATAGCATTCCCTCAGTTTACTTGCAAGTAAGCTTCTTAACTTAGGGGTGTCTGTATATGGTTGAATGAAACCCTGGCTAGTTTGGTTTTCCCCCAGACTTCCCTATCCGTCAGTTAACCCCAGCCAACTGTTTGAGAGAGACAGGCTGCTGCTGCTCCTCCCTGTCTTCCTCCTCCTCCTTCCCTTCCTCCTCTTCCTTCTTTTTTTTTTTTTTCCTCCCAGAAATTTTTTTTTCAATCCTCACCTGAGGATATGTTTTCCATTGCTTTTCAGAGTGAGTGGAAGGGTGGAGAGAAGAAAACATCGATGTTAGAGAGACACATTGATTGGTTGCCTCCTGCATGTGCCCTGACCTGGGCCGGGGATGGAGCCTGCAAACGAGGTACATACCCTTGGCCGGAATTAAACACAGGACCCTTCAGTCCATGGGCCGACACTAACCACTAAGCCAAACAGGCTAGGGCTTTTTTTTAAATTTTTTTATTTTTTTTAAAAAAACACGAACATCCACACCCTGAATTCCACTTTAATTAAATTGTTTTATGATTCCCCAAGGACATTTGCCCCCAGGGGGAGGTTGAAGTCTTCTAAGAATGACCTCCTCGCAGTACTTCCACCCAAACTCCTAGAGTAATGTAACGCTGGAAGAGATGTGCCCAGTTTTTAGGATATCTCTCCAGCCATAGCATGTTCTTCAACTTATGAGTGATGGCTAAGGTAAGGATCTCCTACTACTGCTTCTAAATAGGAATCCATGGCAGGTAAAAAAAATTTTGAACTTCTCATAAATGTTCATCTTTCTTAGACTTTTGTGGGCATAGCTTGGTCACAGAAATAAAAGCCCCACCTTCATCCTGGTACAGAATGCAGATGTGGCTTTGTGCCCAAAGAAAGTGGTCTAGCACTTGTTTCCTTATTACAGTAGTCATGGGAGGCAGGTTACCCCACCTCACTACCCTCCTAATGTGCAGAATCACATTTAAACCTATTTAAATTGTCCACTTACTCCCAGCTGACTCTCTCCTGGATCTTTAACACTTAGTGGAAAAAGTGCTTTTCTTTGTCTTCGAAGAGTTCTTGGCAGAAAGTCTACCAGGTTGCTTTCAACTTCTTAATCACCCTGAGCTGCAATGGTCATTTGCATCACTACAGGTAAGAGTAGCATTTACTTTGGCTTCCTTCTGTTTAAACATCTGGAAGCACTTGGCCTTATTCTCAGAATTTGTCCTTTTTCAGTGCAGTCTGACAGGAAGAACCAGGAGAGTCCCAAATGGGACAAAAAAAGAAATTGGATAATAAAAATTCAGTAAAAAATTAAAAGTGTGTTTGGGTTTTAATGTTACCTGTGTATTTTTTACTTTCTGTGGAGTACTGGTTCTCTTTTATTTTTGCTTGGTTTTGATTTTTCTTGGAGTTGTGATGCTTTCTGCTGATGGTGTGTGTGCGCCTTCCGTTGCAGGGCTTGCAGCCATTCTGCTCAACTTAAGGCCCAGGGATTTGGCTTCAGTCTGATGTGTTTTGGAAACCATGGGACACCACTGTGCTAACATGTTTACATGCATCTGCTTCTGTGTTAGTGGCTGCTATGCCTCCATTATCTGTACATAGAGACCCTGTTTGATGTTATCAGTAAGGACCAGTGCTAAATGGAAGATAACCACTATCCTTTTTACCAGACTTGGAAAATAGTGAAAACCAATTTAATTGAGCCAAACTTAAGGATTTGCTTTATCACATTTTTTTGACGATTTGACCTGTACAATCAGAAATGTTACATGATAAGGCGGTCCTTGGGCATTACATTTTTTAAGTGTCCCATGACCTCTTTATCCTCTCCCCCTCTCCACATAATGAACACAGCTTAGTTCCAGTGGAGGGAGAGTGTTCTGTCCTCAAGAGTTAACCTTAACATTACATTGCATAAAATGGCGTCAGGAAGCTACTACAAAGTTGTAGACAGGAAATAGCCAGGTACAGGGATTTGGGAAGTCAGTCAAGGATTTCTGAAAAAGAATTGGGAAAAAAATAAAAGAGCAAATGCCTCTAATTGTGTAATGGGAAAAGATTGCTAATTTAGACTTCACCTGAAAATGTTTGATCAAAAGTAGAGAAAGAACTAAGCCTGGGAAAAGAGTAAAGATAAATAACAACAAAAGACGCAAACAGAAACATCTTTAATATAGTGATGTAATTCAAAGTGCTTTAAGGATGAACCTTCCAGGAATGATATAATGTGCCTTAAAAAATTTCTGCTCATTGTGTATACCATTTGACTTAGGTTTTTTTGTAGATATTAAAACTAGTGATCCCAGATTATCTTAGCCCAGGACAGAACCAGAAGATAAGGTATATAACTTGCCCTAGGGTGGAAGGTACGTAGGGTGTTCTTGGGTTGGGGGTTAGGAATAGAGAATTGAGTCAGATGTGTTTTCTAGGCCCAGCTTTGCCACTAATAATAATTATGGCCTTGCATAAGTCATTTTACCTTTTTACCTCTTAAAGGTGGGATTCAGTGAACTCTAAGGGCCTTTCAGTTCTAAAATTCAGGATCCCATAGTAGCAACACGTACTGCATTCATTATATTATCTCAGAATGGAATGTGTTTTAAAGTATAGTTATGAAAAAGTTTTGTTTTGGGAATAAATAAATATGGGCTGGAGAGAACTGATGGTTCCTTAAGAATTTTCCCTCAGCAAAATGTAGAAAATGCTTTTAGATCTACACTGCCTTTTTCTGCATAATTAATGGCCATGGCTGGTTTGCCATAGGCTTACCAGATTTACATGTGGGAAAACCCGTATATATGTATTACCTAATTATCGCTATTACTCTTCCAAGGCCTAGTGACTCCATAGGGAGTTTATTAGTTATGTAAATGATACTGTTTTTATCTTTAGAACTGCAAGGTGGAGCCTGGTTTTCTATTTCAAGTGGAATTAGTTGGTGGTTCTTATGTCATAAAATGATGGTATTCAAAAGTATAAGTGGATTGTTGCCAGTACAAGCACCCGTAATACTCCCATTCTTTTCACATCTAGGCCAACTGGTCTTCAGGCTGTTGTCTGCGCTAGTGGTCATTTGCTTATAATCATTGTTTTTCCTTTCTTGACTTCCTCCAAAGTGGTAAAGTGAAATTCCTCATGTGGTCCTGTCTGCCCTCCCTCTTTTTCAAGTATCCCCATCCTACCCCATCCAACTTTCAGGCCAGGGCCACAGAGAATGGAAGGCTATGGCTCTCTATCATTGTGCACTCTTATTACAGAGCCAAGGATTGTCACCAGTGAAGAGGTCATTATTCGAGACAGCCCTGCTCTCCCTGTCACCCTGCAGTGTAACCTCACCTCCAGCTCTCACATCCTTACATACAGCTACTGGACAAAGAATGGGATAGAACTGACTGCCACTCGTAAGAATGCCAGCAACATGGAATACAGGTGAGAAGGGGCTAGCAGCTTCTGGGAAGATGGGAGTATGGCTGAGCTTACTTGACATTCATAATACATAATTATGCTTTGTGAGAGAGACATGAGATATATATGGTCCTCCTCTGGAGAGTCTAATCCAGCATATCTGAGGTGAAGCCCAGGAATCTATAAGAGATTTCCAAATAATTCTAATGAGCAGCTAGGTTTGCCTGTCATAGATGATCCCGCCACTATGATAATAGATTGAGGGCATAGGGAATGACTTACTCAGAGTCACAATGCTAATCAGTAGGAAAGTCACAATTAGAATGCAGATCTTTTGACCAATCCATCGAGGAATCAGATCGAAATACGCTTTAGGACTCTTAGAGCAAGGCCACCCTAAGTGACTTTTCCTCTGGGTAGATGATTTCCTAGTGCATTACCTTTTAGAAGTGTTTAATATAACCATAATCTGATCAGGATCAGTGGATACAGGGCTGTTTAGTGATCTGGAATAAGGATAGTAGCCTGGAAATATCTTTTGATGAAAGGGAGATATTTGCTGATCACTGTTACCTCGCACCCAAAGATTTGGTGCTTTTTTGGAATATATAGTAACACATGGCACCTCGCCTTTCAGAATAGTTTGTTCCTGTTTAAAAACTGATCTAGAAAAGGATCAACTAACCCTGCTTGGCAGCATGGTACAGTGGAAAGAAAGAGTACACTGCAGTGAGAGCAAGAGAACGTGTGTACCCAGTAGTAGCAAGGCCATTATGCAGTATTTTGCAGAATTGAGATCTTTTCATATCCCTTATTTAGTTGAGCCACATTAGTCCTTGAATCCACCTCCTTTTTGGGGGTAAAAAGACTAAGATTCAAATAACTGTTGACTGCTTTCAAGGCCAAATACTGTATATAATAAGTTTCAGAATCAAGGCTAGGTTCCAAGTGTTCTGACTTTCTGGAATCTAGGTCATCGTTTTTTTCCTACTGTGCCATATAGTTTAGTGGCAAGTTAGTTAATCTATCTTTGCTGTAGTTCCTTCTGATATAAACTTGGAAATAGAGCCTCAGCTGTATCCTTACAGTTAGGAAAAGGTTAACCAAGTAGAGGTGTTTGGGTGGATTAAAAGGCATTATTTCTTGGTCTGTCCATTAGTTTCACAAGTTTGTTGTTGTTGGTGGTGGTGTTTTAGCAATACCTTTCAGTGTACCAGATATCCAATCATGTTTCTCTTGGGTCTTGTGCTGGGTCACCCACAAAACTTTGAATTGTAATTTCATAAAGTTTGAGCCTGATTTTGTAAATATATTTTCTCAGCTTATTTAAAGCTCTCCAGGGGTGTTCTGCATTGTCAGAGTTTTTGGAGGAATCTGTTCTCCCACATTTTGTGGAATAACAAGCAATGAGTCAGTCAGTCCCTTGGGCCACCTAATAAATCAGGTGTGGAGCCAGTCTCAGATCTTGTTTCTGCTTAGCCAGTAGTAGACATTTTCCATTTCCTTCCATTGCTTCCCAGTAGCTAGTCATAGGGAATCTTGTGGGAAGATTTTGGCCTATTGGCATGACCTCATCTTCCCAAGACTTCTCAGGGAACTTAGAGTCAGTCTAAGCCATGAAGATAGAGCTTCTGCTCCTCCTCCAAGTTCTGGGACATTTGTTTACAGCAGGTGATTTGTGTCTGTTTTTCTTTTGGGACAATATTGATTTAAGAAGAGGCACTTATGTCAAATTGAGAAGACTCTTGACTGCTCCTCTGAGAATATTATGTTGCCATGGATATGCTGAGACAGTCTGGGGGATGGGCAGTATCTTTCCTCATCCATAGTCTCTTAACCTGTATTTCTTTTTATAATCAAGAGTAAGATGGATAAATGCATTAGGCCAGCCAGTGGTCAGGGTTATGAGTTTTTCCTGACATTTAATGGTGCAGTGGAGATGTGACCATCACAAGTATATTTTAACCACTGAGCAAAAGAGCAGGAGCTATATAATATTTATCCTCCGATCTGGAGGCTGTTATTTCTCTGTTTTTTGTAATTACACAAAGCCTTGCTGTACATGTTTAGGAGGGTGGTGTATAGGCCAGACTGGACTAAGCTGGTGTGAAGCTGGTCCACAGGGGCAAGAAAGCTTGTTTAGGATGACCTTGTGGGATTCAGAGGAAGCGCTGTTCTGGCCATTGTATACATACTTCCTGTAGTCCTTTCTGTTACTCTGCTTAACTTGGTTTGGTCTGTGCACAGCTGTTCACTCATTTGTATTCATTTGAGTTTGTGTTTCTTCATTCCTTTACTATATTCCAGGTACCAGGCTACATGCTGGGTATAGAATTATGCATCAAGTAAACAGTGCCTAGCCACATAGAATTTGGTCTGTTGGGAAAATGGACAATGATCAAGCAATCACACATATACAGGGTGGGGCAAAAGTAGGTTTACAGTTGTGAATATGCAAAACAGTTTATTCTTGTATTATTTATAAATCACTGTATTTTTTCCATATGAACAACTGTAAACCTACTTTTGCCACACCCTGTATAATACATTGTGATAAGTTCTGTGAAGTATTAACAGTGTAGTATGAGAGAGAATGTCATGGAGGGGGATATCACTTAGATTGAGGGTGGGAAGAAAGTGACATGTAAGCCAAGATAATGGAAAAGGAGTTAGGTGGCTAAGAGTGATGGAAAGAACATTCTATATAAAGAATGTCAAAGTTTTGAGGTAGAAACAAGTTCAGCACATTAAAGAAAACAAGAGAGACCAGCAGGGCTGGGAAGTGGCTGAGATGAGGCTAGGGAGGTGGGCCCTGGAATTTTAGCTGCAGCTAAATAAAGTCCTTAAAAGTTTAGCTACATCTCTGGCTGATGCTCTGATGGCAGATTTTTGTTTTGTTTTGTTTACAATCCCTGGGTCCTGTTAGTGAGGAGTCTTATTAAAAGGCATGCTGCTAAAATACAGGGTAGGAAGTACAGGACTACTAAAACAAGGTCTCTAGGGAAGCACAGAAACAAGTTTGCATTTTTTCTTGCTCTTATTTGACTGGAACTACCAGATGAGCAAGACGTTTTTGTGATTGCTCCATCCTGTATATCTGACTATAGATTATAGTACAGTTGTACCTCGGTTTTCTAATGTAATCGTTCCGGAAGACTGAGTTCTGAAATGTTCGAAAACCGAGGGATCAACAGACAACAGCTAGGCCTCAGGATCTTGCACTCAGCGGAAGCCGTGTGGCATGTTCGACTTCCGAGGCGTGTTTGAGAACTGAAGAGTTTACTTCTGGGTTTACAGCATTCATAAACCAAAATGTTCATCAACAGAGACGGTCGAAAACTGAGGTACTGCTGTACTTTGTACAGCATTCTATTTTGATTACTTGTTTTGTGGTTTATTTTTCCTGTTAGAACACCTTAAGATTTGGGAACATATGTCATTTCATCTTCGTATTTGTGGCACCCAGTGAGGAGTAACCCAGAGGGAGGTTTTTCCTTTTAGTTAGGAGGAGGTGAGTTGCATTCAGGGGCACAATTTGGAGAGCAGGGTCCCTGGTTGCCTCCTGGATTCTTCTTTTGTATATTTTGACAGTTTTCAGCTTCCTCACTTGATTTTTCTTCTCATCTCTGCAGGATCAATAAGCCGAGAGCTGAAGATTCAGGCGAATACCACTGTGTATATCACTTTCACAGTGCTCCTAAAGCAAATGCCACCATTGAAGTGAAAGGTACAATCCAACAAAGGCTGTGGTGTGAGCCTCTCACTCTTCTTCTGAGATACTACCTTGGTCTGGACTCCCAGACATCAAGCTCTTCTTGTTTCCATTATGGGAGGCAATACAACGTTATGATTAGGACCCAGGCTCAGGAGCTCAGCTACCCAAGTTTAAATCCACACCCCCATCATCTACTAGCTGCGGGACAGTGACAAATTATTAATTTATGTTTGTTTTAGTTTCCTCATTTGTAAAACCTGCCTCATGGGTTTGTTAGGTGTTTTAAGTAAGTTTTCATAGTAGGTTGAACCATATGCAATTGCTGTTTTTGTATGTTAAAAATGCTTGAATGTTGGCACTGTGTGTGGTTCGACCTTATGTAAAGCTCTTAGAACAGTGCCTTCTGAGTGTTATTACATAGGTCTCTCCAGTGGTCCAGCAGAATTTGTCAGAGTACAGTGTTCAGGATAAACATAAACTATTTATGGATAATTTATTAGAATTTTCGTAGAAACTCTGGGTACATGGCATCTTAAAGGGGAAGGTGTGGCTGAAAGATCCAAGAAAGCCCAGTAGAATTATAAGAGTTGGAACTACTTAAGTACATTACTCCAAGCTTTCCTGTGTTATTTCAGAGAAGCAGCTGAGACCCAGAAAAGTGAAACCACTGCTCTGTGCCATATAGTGAGTTGGTGGCAGAGCTGGCATAGAACCTTAGGTCTTGACTCCCAGTCCTATGTTTTTCCATTTTATAAAATGACCATGGGGAGGCGGGGCTACTGTTTGAGGTCAGACTGAAGAGATGCCCTCTCCCCCCCCCCATTTTTGTGTGTATGTTTTTTAAATTTAAATTTTATTTAGGAAGCCATCTTCTTTAATCCGTAGGGTAGTCTGTAGAAGCTGGAGGGATACATTTAGGAAATAGGAAGGGCCTATATAGCAGGTACTCAGGTGTTCCTTAAAATACTTGAAGACTTAAAATTCAGATTTAAGGAAAGCTTAGACACATTTAAAGTTTCTGTTATATGGTGTTATTAAATGAAAGTAATGTCTTGGTCACATGGCCCTGACTTGTGAGTGCATGGACAGCCAGTGCCTTTTCCCACTGCCAGGTTGAATTCTAAATGCCTGAAGGGGTTGAGTCACAGTTGCATGGTTTTGTCTACACATGCTAGAGAACCTGGGATTTGATTAAATTCAGTGGCTTTTCTTGAAGAGATCTGGGTTTATTTTTGTTTTTAAAGAATGCCACATTTGTTCAACATGAGGATGAAGATGTGAGAAAGCATTTTCTCAGCCAGCCAAGGGCCTTTCCCCACCTGGGTGAGCTGACCTCTGTTAGGGATACTCCTCCATGTAAGACCTGAGGACCTACAACATTCCAGGCTGAGCCTTTGGCACAGAGTTGAAGTGTAGAGGAAACAGGGTAGGTGAGAGAAGGAAAGTGATGTGTGTAGTTAATAGTCCTCTCCAGGCCTAAAGGATAATTACTTACAAGTCTTAACAAATTGTAATCCTAGTGATTTGGCGTTAATGATTTCTAAGCAAGCTTTCAGGAGTGGAAATGAAGGTGGTTTTTCCGTTGGTTTGGCTGCTCAAGGTGGGGTGCAGTGGCCCAGAGGTACCTTTCCTCACATTCTGTTGAGCAGATATGAAGTAGTGGTCTGGAGGGGCAGCAAAGAGGAAGCTACAGGCAAGAGTGTTTCCAGAGGAAGTTATAACTTGGATGGTATCTTACCGTTTTGAAGGTGTGGACTGTGCACTGTTGCATTTTTACTGTACAATAGCCCGGCAAGGAAGATAGGGCAGGTAGTGATAATCCTGGTTTTAAAGAGATAGACCTTCAGAAAATTCTTCTTATATAATCCTAAAACAATTTTTGTGACTAGATTGGACAGATATATTATTCTCTTAAGAAAATTCATAAAGAATTCTAGTCTTTCTTCTCTTTCTCAAACACCTGGACTGAAAACAGCAGAACACTTAACGTCTCTCAGATTATGGATAGTTTAGTCTGGTAAAGACTGAACATTTGTTTTTTTCTGTGTAAGTTTTTAAAGTTTTGTCTCAGGCCTAGGGTCGTATACTAGGCTAGCTCCTAATTGTGATGAGGTAGAAAACTGCCTTGCATTTAAGAGTGGGGTGAGGGGGGTGGTATGTTATTCCCAAAGCATTTTTATAAATTCATTTCCTCAGAGCCTATAGAGTGGGGTAAGAAACAGTTATCTTTTTATAACTATAATGATTAGAAAAATCTGCTGAGTAATAGGTAAGAGGTGGCTGTACTTGAGAACAGAGAAATTCAGGGGATTCAGGGAACATAAGTGACCTCTGCTGACAGGAGTCTCTGAAAATCTTCATTTATAATTCAGACTATACATATATATTTCTTTAGTATCTTCTACACACAGCCCTTTTCTTCCCCATCTGGCTTTTCCTGTAGTTCAGAACTGCCTGGGGTGTTTGGGCTTAGACTAGCCAGGAACTGGGCATTATATGTCACTTTACCAAATTTTGAGTTACTTGTGTTCAAAAGAAAAGAAGGCTAGCCTAGCTGGGCATGGCTCAGTGGTTGAGCGTTGACCTAGGATCCAGGAGATCGCAGTTCAATTCCTGGTCAGGGCACATGCCTGGGTTTTGGGCTCGATCCCCAGTAGGGGGTGTGCAGGGGGCAGCCAATCAGTGACTCTCATCATTGATGTTTCTATCTCTCTCTCTCCTTCTCTCATCCTCTCTCTCAAATCAATAAAAAAAGATATATTTTAAGAAAAAGAAAAGAAGGCTAGCCTTGGCCAAGTGGCTCAGTTGGTTGCATCATCTCATACACCAAAAGGTTGCAGATTCAGTCCCTGGTTGGGGTGTATATGGGAGGCAACAGATTAATGTTTCTCTCTTATTGCTGTCCCCCCCCCCTTCTGTCTCTTTAAAATCAATACACATCACCTCTGGTGATTGTTAAAAAAAAAGAAAAGACACGTTTCTGAGAGCAGACTTGAGGTGGCAGTCCTTTTCCACCCTAGCCTGGAGATCCCTGCCACAGGAATTTTGAGCTTGGTAGTCTTTGCATGTAGTGAGGAAAACCTTGAATCTAAAGTAGGCTTAGGTGTTTTTCTTTCTCTTTTTTTAAAGGACAAAGATGAGGCACCATGTAAATAGTTACTGTTTAGGGTGACATTTCTTAGCTTTTTAGCAGGTGCTGGAGGCAGAAGATGGAGCAGGGCCTGCCAGGGGAGAACACCAATGATTAGACCTTAGTGGGCCCTCATCCCTGGAGCCCTAGCTCTCTGGGGATCCACTTAGATAGTTCCAAGAAGGCATCGCTTTCCCCACCTATATTTTTCTTTTTGTAATCCTCACTTGAGGATTGATTTTTTTCTTTTTCTTTTTTTTTTGGAGATAAAGAGAAACATTGATCAGCTGCCTCCTGTCCTCAGCCTATGTATGTGCCCTAACTGGGAATTGAACCCACATCCTTTTGGTGTATGGGACGATGCTCCAACCAATCGAGCCACCTGGTCAGGGCACTTTCCCCAGCTTTTTGACTCTTCAGAGCTGGTGTCCTTACCATAGAGCATTCAGGAATGAATGATTGTTGGTGGTTTTTTTAATCCCTGTAATTCTTTAACCTTTCTAATCTTTACTCTCCCTCTTCCCCTCTTTTTTTCCTAAAATTAAAAAAAGTGCTTGCAAGAGCAAATAAAAAATTTCTATGTAATTTACAGAGATAAAGAGAAAATCCCTGTCATGACTCCTAAACCCTGTCCTCATTCCTCAACCATTTTGACTAAGGCAAGAAACAAGGAGTTTAAGTTTTATTACTATTTTCAGAAAAGGATTTTGGTCATCAAATTCTTTGCAACACCCATGCCAATGCCTCTTGTGAAAAGGCACACCCCAGCCCCAGGAAGGCTTATGTCTCCGTTCTTATTAGGCCCATCATCTCTGCCTGTTCAGTGAGCATTTCTAATGAGGTTGTCTTTTGGTGACTATGAGAGCCAAGATTGAACTTGTTTTTCTCCTCCCTAATTCTTAGCTTTCTTCCTATTTGAATATTGTGACTGACAGTATTTCTGTAAGTGACCTTGCCCTGCATTCCTGTTTCCTGCTCTGTCTCCTGGCCTCACCAGTGATATGTCTTAAATTCAGACTGGCTGAGATGGACTATATGGTGATGATGAAGAATATAATTATTAAGAGTAATAAGCCCAGCCGGGTGTGGCTCAGCGGTTGAGCGTCGACCTAGGATCCAGGCGATCAGGGTTCGATTCCCGGTCAGGGCACATGCCCAGGTTGTGGGCTTGATCAATGACTCTCTCATTATTGATGTTTCTGTCTCTCTCTCCCTCTCCTTTCCTCTCTCTGAAATCAATAAAGATATATTTAAAAAAAAATAATAATTAAAAAAATAATTATTAAGAGTAATAATACACATCTCACATTTGTATGGTACTTTCAGCATGCAGAGCATTTTCATGGTCATTTATTTGTTTGATAGATGGGGTTAGTTTGATAAGTGAGGATTCTTAGAAGTTTTGATGTCCTTTAGGTCAGAGCTGATGTTGAAGCTTGTTCTGACTCAGAATTGCCCTTACTTGAAAAGTCTTTGAAAGCATAATAACATCTTGAAGCTGCTACATTTCGAACATCAGTCTTAACTCAAATATCCATACCTGTTCGTTTTTTTCCTCTTATCAGGGTACTGCCCTAATCTTCCTTAATAATACCAAGAATGGCTAACATTATTGCGCACTTATTGTGTGCCAGGCACTATGCTAGGCCATTACTCATTCCTTTCCTCTCCTTTAACCTTCACAGCTCTGAGGTAAATGCTATTTTTAGCTCCACTTTCCAGGTGAGAAAATTGAGTCTGAATGGAATTAAATGACTTGCACAGAGTGACAGAGGTAAGCAGTGGAGCCAGGGACCTCACCCAGGTGCTCTAATGCCAGAGCCTGTGCCCCTAAACACTAAGCCATGTGGCCATGTTCAGCACATAACAATTAAAAGGCCTC